GCTCTACGCTCGCCGTCGTGCCGTTTCGAGAAGGCGGTCGAGTGTTTATCACTCTTCAGATGGCCGAGGGCGTCGCCCCTCCCGAAGGAGCCCTCGTTCTCGTTCTCCTTCGAAACGAAGGACAAACATGATGCTGACGACGACTCCGACTTCTGGAAGCCGTGGGTCATCGGTGTGATCGTCGGCAGTGGCGTTGGCATTGCTGTTTTCGTCTTTGTGGTGATTGGCGTGGTTGTCTGGATGGTCCGCAGCAGGCGCGACTACCAGCTCGTCAACTAAAACAATCAAAAGACACACTGCGCACTGTTCCGCAGTTGAGCATTTTGAGGGTCTGCAACAGTTTCGCTATCTCCCACAACACCGCCCACACCCTCCCTCCACACGCCAGGCCAACGAACAATCCACAGCAATGGCGACCGGCGACAAGAAAAAGCCGCTGCACAACGTACGATTAGAGACGAGCCACTCCACTTCTCCCCGAGGCAGCTGGAAGGGTACATCCGCGCCCAAGGGATGACCATCCACACTGGTACACACAAGAGGGCATTGATGCTTTCCTCGCTGTGGACGGCGCGATGCAGATAGCCCAGGGTGATGCGTGTTCCGCCATTCTCGCGCATCACCTCCTCCACCTTCTTCTTCCCATAGGCCTTTGTGAGTGTTTGTAAAAATGACTGTGGCTAACCCATACCCTGATTAATGGGACTAACATACACCGCACCGCCAATTGCTGTGTGGGATTATCCCTTTATTACTTGTTTTACACTGCTCACGCAGTGGCTCACTGGGCAGTAGTGACGCCGTCATAGTCGGTGCCGAGCGAGATGCTCTTCCACTCCTCGATCAGAGCAAGAGACGACTCGCACTTGGCCTTGATGATGTCGTAACAGTCCCGGCCGAGGGCCAGGCGCCCAGGTATCTCGGTGCGTCCGGCTGCCAAACCGGACAGAGTGAGCACGTCGACGATGCGCTGGGCGGCCTTGGCTGGGTCACCAGACTGCTTGCCATGGGTGCGTTCGTGCCAGGCCGCGACGCCACCAGCAGGCGTCTGATCGTAGTCGGCGATGTGTTGCTGAGCGGAGGCCAGGTTGGTTCCCTCCTTCAGTAGGGCAGTGCGGAAGACTCCAGGCTCGATGACGGTGACCGTTATGCCTAGCGACGCTACCTCGTCCCGCA